TGGGCTGCATTTGAGCCCAGTGTTCCCCAGTAGCTGTTAGCCCAAAAGGCGACCCTGGTAAGTAATATTTTTATCAGTGCAAGCGTTTTTCTAAGGCCTGCTACCGATGAAAAGAAATTAGGTTTGAATAATTGTGTTTTCGTGGTGTTTGGTATTTTTTTTCTGTTAGAGTTATCGACCAATGTTTTATTGGGTTCAGGGTACAATATTTGAAATTTCATGTAAAACCTTTGGCAATCTTTAATTTTAGTTCTCTATTTTTAGTGCAATATATGAAATTTCTATGTATTTAATGGAGATAACTTATTCTTTTTTTTTACAAGTGTAAATAAATTGTAACAATAATGAAACTTGGCATAATGTCATGGTATGGCCCCTATAAGGTGTGGTAAAAATTTGAGAGAGTTACAAAAAAATTGTGCTGTGCTTCACTTACAAACCGAAGCATCTCTGAGAAAGAATCAGAGTTTCGAAGGGAAACTATGAGGTTTAAAAGCAAACAAGTTTTCAAAATCATACAAAGTAACCATACAAAGTGTCAAACTTTCACAGGAACTTCTGATGATTTACCTTTAATGTTGAAAAAAATGTACAATAACCCTAAACACAGAACACTAAAGTACTGACATTAAAAAATAATAAAAAATAGAGTACTGATGGCGGGGCCTAAAAGGGCACACCTCTATTAAATGATAGATTCAAATACCATTACCTCCCTTATATACCTAGAAATTCATTTAAAGCCCTAAAAATATCAAGGTAACTATATAAAGTGTCAAACTTTTACACGTTCTGATGATTTACCTTTAATGCAGAAAATTTTGGACCATAACTCTAAACACAAAACACTAAAACACTAACACTAAAAATTTGAAAAATAATACCAGTTGTAGACACTACCATGGCCCGTGCTTCCTCTAATCCAGGAAGGTATTGGGCCCCGACTATTTGTAGGCACGTAGCAATTTCACTCAAGAGGATCCTTCACTAGTAGGAGCTTTGAATTGCTAGCAATGATCAGTACATGCACACACACAATATGGAACTTGCGTCGGCCCACATCAAAACTGGTAAGACTGTCAGTCTTATTGGGACCAGAGTTTCACTGCTGAGCAAATTCAGTTGTCTATTGATTAAATTGCTATTTTGAATATGACTATACATGGCATAATTCTATATAGGCAACATGTCTAAATATTCATACACCGTTATCCATCTCCATCTATAGCTAATGCTCTACGCCAAGACCGCTATCCAGCATGCATATCAAAAGTATTAAGTAAAACTGAATATTACAATAAAGTGTGATGACATGATGTAGATACTATATTGTCTTCACCCTGCCTTGAAAGGACAACTACTCAACTATCTTTTTATCCTTAGTGATAGCAACACAATAAATCATTTTCCATTTTTATTACTTGCAAGACTGAATCCAATAACATACCCGACCCCCTTTTTGAGAAAATTAATTTAAACATGGCCAATGCAAGTGTAATTTTTTTTGACAAGAGGAATATATTAATATCAAGTAAATATCAATTACACCTAGCCTCTACACCAACAAGATGCCTAAAACATTCAGGATGCATGCAGCCGAAAAAAGGGAAAAAAAAGAGAAAAAAGATGCTGCCATGCTGATCAATCTCCCGTGGTATCAGCGCTCTAACCACCACCAAAGACAACACCCGGAATAGAAAGAAGAAGGTTATACAAAAGTAACGCCTCTATGAAGGAAACAGTGCACAAGTGTTGTTGTTACCCAATTAAAGATTGTAGGTTTTCACCCTGGAGAAAAACCGCATTCCCAAAACAATGCATTCAACAAAGCCACCGACAGGCACAACCAATAAAGGCCAGACCTTGGATTTTCATCCTGAAATCACGACTTGGTACTCAAAGGAGCACCACCAACAAATAAAGTCCTTCAGTGCTACAGCCCCCACTTGCGGAGGCTACTACTATAAGTCACGTACCACCAAGCTCACAGGAAACTCATGCCTTGTCTGAACGGGAACATATCCCGCAAGCCAAGTCTGAACCACTTCCTGTGAAGCAAAGTCTTCATCGCATCCAAGACCCCGCCTTCGCCACTTGAAGGTCTTCCAGTCACGCCATGGCATCCTCCGCATGTGTTGATTCCTTGGAAATCTTGGTGCAAACATGTCCCAAGGTATCAACAAAAACAGCGTTTCGCGATACCTCAGTGAAGCTGGTTATGTTGATGTTGCGGGTGCACACGACTGGACCCTATCCAAGCAAGGTGTCCAAAGAGCGCCATATATGACAGTCCTTGTTTTCCCTCGATGGAGAAGTCTGGAACTCGTCGATGGCCAGATCAAAGAGGACTAATCGTAGGTAGAACGGTGACTTTGCGTAAAGACCACTAGGTCCACCACCTGGTAGATTATTTTGTGATACATGAGATCCCAAGATCAACCATATCATGATGCCCACCTCCGGTGAAAGGAGGAGGCCAACCCCGCCATGTCCGGGGTTGCCGCCCTGGCGCCCAAGTGATGCGCACAGAGCTGCAGACTGTTGATGCCACGCACATGAAGCAACAGGCAACCACGCCAACCTCACCGCCGTAATCACCACAACCACGCCAGCCTCGCAGCAAGGATAGCTGCATAGTCGCCACCCATGGTCGCGGGCCAGATCTGGAAGAGAGCTCCTATACGACACCTTATGCGCCAGTTATCCAGCCAGCTCTCACACGGCCCACTCTCATGGGTCGGCCCAACAACGCGGGCGCTCCCTCGTTTGATCATCACATTGTTGACCATGGTCGTTGACCATGAACATTGTCAAAGATAGTTGACTTCTGGAAAAATGAAAAAGGAAAATAAACATTTAAAAACAAAAAGCTAAATAAAATGAAAACTAAAACCAAGAAATCCGGGTGAAAACGAAAACCAAAGAAAAACAACCTGAAAACCAGAGGTAACCTTCTAGAAGGTTCTCAAGAGTGGTGCAGCGAGACATGTTTTGGGCCGCTCAGTTAATGCTACCGAATGAATCGACCAATAACCCTTTAACGGGCGCCTTGAGCACCGAATAGGAATTGCACGCTTTGCACCGCTTAGGTCGTCAGTGGGAGAACAACGAAATCACTAATTAAGGAGTATTTGTTGCAAAGAATACTTCACTTTCCCAGGTCGCGACAAGTGACACACATGCAACGCGTCACTTGTCACAACATGGGAATTTTTTCTTTTTTCGTAAATTCGTTTATTCAAAACATTTTATCTCTTAAACCGTGCGTCCAAATCTCGAACTGTTTTCACCATTGGATTCCTCGCGTCGAGATCTTCAAAACTAGTTCCCATGTTGATAGGTTTTGACGAACTTTTTTTGTCATGAAAAAAACCGGACAAAAAAACTGGGCGAAAAACCGAACTGTGAGCACGGTTTTTTCCCCTTTTCGAAAGAGGCACGCCCGTGCCTCTCGCGAAATCACAACCGTGCCTCTCGTGGAAGCAAAACCGTGACTCTCGTGGAAGGAAAACCGTGACTCTCGTGTAAGGAAAAAAAAACATAAAACGCGTTTTTTTTCGTTTCCGAGAGGCACGGCCGTGACTCTCGCGAAAGCACAACCGTGCCTCTCGCGAAAGCAAAACCGTGACTCTCGTGAAAGAAAAAAAAAATAGAAAACGTGTATTTTTTTCCCTTTCCGAGAGGCACGGCCGTGACTTTCGCGTAAGCACAACCGTGCCTCTCACGGAAGCAAAACCGTGACTCTCACGAAAAAAAATAGAAACCGCGTTTTGTTTTTCCCTTTCTGAGAGGCACGGCCGTGACTCTCGCGAAAGCACAACTATGCCTCTCGCGGAAGCAAAACCGTGACTCTCCCGAAAGAAGAAAAAAATAGAAAACACGTTTTTTTTGTTTCTGAAAGGCACGGCCGTGACTCTCGATAAAGCACAA